TTAATGATTCATTGATTACTCTACTAACATACCAATCAACCAACCAACCAACCATCAAACCAACCAACCAACCAACCAATGGACCAACCAACCATCAAACCAACCAACCAACCAACCAATCGACCAACCAATCGTCCAACCAACCATCAAACCAACCAACCAACCAATCGACCAACCAACCAATGGACCAACCAACCATCAAACTAACCAACCAACCATCCAACCAACCTATCAACCAACCATCAAACCAACCAATCAACCAACCAGGTTAAACGAATTCACGAATACAAGCGCCAGATGTTAAATATCCTGCACATCATCACGATGTACAACAGACTGAGAGCTGACCCGGCCTATAACTTTACCCCACGTACTGTCATGATTGGCGGGAAGGTAGTACATTTTGTATTGTTGTGTTGTATTGTACAAGAATACAAAATTGTAAAAATATTTTGTATTGTATTGTACAAGAATACAAAAGTATAAAAATATTTTGTATTGTATTGTACAAGAATACAAAATTGTAAAAATATTTTGTTTTGTATTGTTATAATACTCGCTGTCGTAACCGATTTACGATGCGACGGGTTCAAATCTTCGATTGAATAAAATACTCCAAACAGTTATTAGTTATTAAACTTTATTTACAGAAGAAATCAACTAATCGTTTATTTCCAGCAAATTCAAATTAACGCAACAATTAACTTTTAAATTGTTCAAAATCTATCGCTATGACAACGTCAACAAACAAATCAAATATCGCTTTAAATAATTCACCGAATCGCTATTCACGAAATCACAAAATCACGAATTTCACTAATCACGAATATCACTAATCACGGATTTCACTAATCACGGATTTCACTAATCTCGAATATCACTAATCGCTAATCTTCTTGCGACATGCGCTTATATACTCTTCGCAAGCGTCGTTTCTAGATTCTTCCAGATGGTCCGATTCTAGCATACTCTAGAATGCTCCAGTCACTAGAACATTCTAGAATACGCTAGAATCTAGTGCGTTCGGTAGCACGGTTATAACAGTATTGTACAAGAATACAAAATTGTAAAAATATTTTTTACTGTATTATACAAGAATACAAAACTGTAAAAATATTTTGTATTGTATACGAAACTGTAAAAAAAATTTATAAGGAAAAATATAATTGCTATGAGAGAACGCATTCATATTTTGTTAAAATTTGCATAGGTTTGGCATAGATCTGCATATATTTGCATGGGTTTTACATAAATCTGCATGAATTAGACATTTATTTGCATAAATTAGCATAAATTAAATGACCTCAGGCTGCCCCTGGCTACCACAAGGCCAAGTTGATCATCAAACTCTTCAACAATGTTGCCTCTGCCTGTAACGCGGACCCTAACGTTCAAAAAAAGTTGAGGTTGTGATTATGATGGCGATGACGATGATGGTGGTGATGATGGTGGGGACGAGAATGATGATGATGATGGTAGGGACGATGATGATGATGATGGTGGTGGTAGTGATGATGGTGACGATCACTATGATGATGATGATGATGGGGACGATGATAATGATGATGATGGTGAGGGTGGTGATGATGGTGACGATGATGGTGATGGTGCCAATTATAGTTTTGATGATGATGATGAAGATGATGATGGCGATACAACAGAAAACAACAAAACAAGAAGTCCACGCCGGCACAAAAACATCAGCGACACGCCACCACACCACAACAGCCACACCACAACAGCCACCACCACGCCACAAACACAGATGCGTCTTCTTGACCAACTACCAAGTGTCCCTGGCCGAGAAAATCATGCCGGCCGCAGATCTCAGCCAACAGCTCTCCACAGCTGGCACTGAAGCTTCTGGGACAGGCAACATGAAGTTTATGGTTAGTTGAGTATTTTCTCAACCATGTAGACATAAAATTAGTTAGATATTCCCCTGAAATTAGTTCGATATTTCCCTGAAATTAGTTAGATATTTTCCTGAAATTAGTTCGATATTTCCTTGAAATTAGTTAGATATTCTCTTGAAATTAGTTAGATATTCCCCTGAAATTACTTAGATTATTTTCCTGAAATTAGTTAGATATTTCCCTGAAATTACTTAGATATTCCCCTCAAATTAGTTAGAAATTCCCCGTGCAAACAACTAAAACGTTAAATGGTGCCTTAACAATTGAAACCTTTGGTCCAAACGACATTGTCGTTCAAAATAGAATGAAATTAGTTAGAGTTAGATATTCCCCGTGCTGACAACTAAAAAGTTAGATATAATCACAACTATGAAGATATCCGCAAAAAATGAAATTAGTTAGATACCCTCATACTAACTTAGCAGTTAAATGGTTCCTCACCAATTGGAACTTTTCGTCTTAACTGTTTAGACGTTCCCATTAGAATGAAAGTAGTTAGATATATTCCAAACTATGTAGATATCAACTGAAAATGAAATTAGCTAGATATCCCTACCTCCAACTCTACAGTTAAATGGTGCTCTAACAATCGGAACCTTGGACGGTGCCAATGTGGAGATGAGAGAGGCGATGGGTGCAGAAAATTTTTTCCTCTTTGGGATGAATGTTAATCAAGTGGAAGAGTTGAGAGCGAATGGGTGAGTTTGTTTGTGTTTGTTTGTTTGCTTGCTTGTTTGTGTTTTTTTGTTTGTGTTTGTGTGTTTTTTTTGTGTTTGTGTGTTTGTTTGTGTTTGTGTGTTCGTGTGTGTTTGTTTGTGTTTGTTTATTTGTGTCTCTTTGTGTGTTTGTTCGTTTTTTCGTTTGTTTGTTTGTGAGTGTGTGTGTGTGTGTTTGTTTGTTTGTTTGTCACCATCAGTGCCATCATCACCTCCCCTACCTACCAGTTACGACCCGATACGTTACTACCATGCCAACAAGGAGCTTAAAGAGGCCATACGCCAAATCGATTCGGGCTATTTTTCTCCTGGCGATCCTCACCTGTTTAAAGAAATTTCATCCAGTTTGCTGAGTCATGATGAGTATGTGTGTGTGTGTGTGTGTGTGGTGTGTGTGTGTGTGTGTGTGTGTGTGTAGGTGTTAATGTTTTTTTGCTTCCTCCCACCAGATACATGGTGTGTGCTGATTATGAAAGTTACATCAACTGCCAAGAGAAAGTCGGGCAGATCTATAAGGTTGGTTGGTTGGCTGGCTGACTGGCTGGCTGGCTGGCTGGCTGGTTGGTGGGCTGCTAGTTAAATGAATAACTCCAGCCAAATTATTACTTAACACCTTTTAAACTAACGAACTCACAAAGGACCAAGCCACATGGTCTAGAATGGTCATCATGAACATTGCGTCATCAGGTATGATGATGATGATGATGCTGAAGATGATGATGATGATGATGCTGAAGATGATGACGATGACAATGTTAATGAATCCAATACTAATGAAGATATGTGATGTATGGCTACAAGTTTTACTATTTTCGACAATAAAATAATATTTTCAGGAAATTATATCTTTAATAAAATAACATTTTTAACATAATAATATTTCTAATGAATAATATTTTTAATAGAATAATATTTTTAATAGAATAATATTTTTAATAGAATAATATTTTAAAACAGGAAAATTTTCTAGTGACAGAACTGTAACTGATTACTGCAATGATATATGGGGAGTTCAACCTAATTTCGATATGATGAATTTAAGCTAACTTAAGATTTGAAAGAAAATAATCTCTTTTCTCTATAATTGTGTTTTGCCTCTGCTTCTTTGTTGGTCTGTCTGCTAATTTGTTTATTTGTTGGCTTTTATTTAAATATAATTTATGGGAAGTTAATTTTAGAATTCGTATTATTAATATTATTATTATTATTATTTGTATATGATTTTATTATTCAATTATCTTAGAGAGATGTTTTTTTAAATAATTTTTTGGGGTTTAAAAACTCATTTTGAAAAATTGAAAATATAAATTAATTTCAATAATTTGATACGCTGATTTGTTTTATACGGTGTAATAAAATAAAATAAAAATGACTTTTTATTCAGACGAAACCATTTAATTAAAATAAAAAATTCATAACAAAACCATGATTTAGTTAGATTGACTTGAACTGTCCAATTGACCGTTAAATTGATTAGACGTTAATTTAGTTAGCCATTCAGTCAATTTTTCAAATAAACATGAAAAAAATAAGTTTTACTACTACTACATTCTCATATTTGATCCCAAAATCGACAAAACTGCCTGCAAGAAAACATTCACAAGTCGATCAAAAATCATAAAAGCAATTCTTTCTTATCATTTCCAACTATTTCTATCACTATTCTATCATAAAACCGACACAATTACCACAAGAATTCCTCCAAATAGAAGCATCACCACAAAAGAAGCAGGGAGCGAGCTGCATTTGGAAGCGGAGTCTTTAGTGGTAATTTGGCAACAACCCCACGGCTCGTATAGGTTTCCATCAATCTTGCTGTTTTGATCACCCTTGCCTTCATCGTCTTCGTATGAGCCCAACTGGGATGGTGGTGATTGTGATGATTATGATGATGGTGGTGATTGTGATGATTATGATGGGGTGATTGTGATGATTATGGTAGTGGTGATTGTGATGATTATGGTGGTGGTGATTGTGATGATTATGAGATTGTGATGATTATGATTGTGATGATTATGATGGTGGTGATTGTGATGATTATGATGGTGGTGATTGTGATGATTATGATGGTGGTGTTAACGATGAAGATAATGGGGAAAGAAAGTCAGATCTCATCTGAAACTCCTGAAATAAATAAATACATAAATAAATAAATTATAAATAAATTTATAAATAAATACTCATAAATACATTTATGAGTATTTACTCATACTGCTTTGGTTCCAGACTTAGGCTTTTAACCTTTACTTATATAAGGGGAAATAAAGAAGACTCTTTGGGCGTAATTGTAGAATGTGTGAGAGTAGAAACCTAACACAAATAAGCAGAAGAACATTTGGATATCGGTTCAACAGTTGTTTAAACGATGATTGTTAAGTTAGTTTGTGCAATTAATAACTTAGTTACTATAATAATTATCCTGAATATTATATTATTATAATGTTATCATCACCGACCCTTATAGATCTGCCAGAAATACCGAAACTACCAAACAGTCTCATATCTCTATTGTATATGACGCTGGTCGACTTTCCATCTTTAACAAACATATTTCCCATATCGCCTAAATGCCTGTGGTATGTGTGTGTGTGTATGTGTGTGTGTGTGTCTGTTGGCGGGTGTGGATGTATGTGTGCGTGTGTGTGTGTGTGTGTGTGTGTTGGTGTGATTGATTTAAAACAAGTTTCAAAACCGGCTAGATGCGCTTCTACCTACTTTTCCTTCAACGAAGACATATTGGAACCATGAAATTTGGCCTTGTGGGGGTTATAATGGCCCCCGATGTTTTGGCACCCCTTAGAAATGTCCCCATTCTCGTGCACGGCAATCCCTATCTTGTTACCCTGAAGATAATTTGGAAAACCGTCGACATCAAGTGTAAACTTCAGACCACCATCTTTATTCACGAGCTATTTTTTGGTAGATTTAGTCAACATTTTTTGGTAGATTTAGTCAACATTTTTTGGTAGATTTAGTCAACATTTTGTGTTGTGTTTCATTGCTAAATATTATTCTTTACATTATACATAAGATGTTAGTTTCTCCGTAATAAGAAATAAATTAACACATATTGGAAGCACCTAGGCTCGAATGTAGAGAGATTCCTGATTACCACAGAATAAATAATATAAACTCTTTTATTATCAATAAATCAATAGGTGAAATGAGATAAAAATAGGCTTTCATTGTACAGTATAATGAACCCAAAATGCCCAGTGCTCGAGGTAGTTTATTTTAAAATGTTTATGCAGTTTTCCTTTCGCAATAAATGGCATACGACGATTTAATAACTAAGTCAATTATTTTATCTTAATTTTATTTTATAATAATAATAAATAATAATAAATAATAAATAACAATAAATATTAATAATGATGTACCTCGTCGGTAATCCGGATAGTACCGTTGAGATACAAACCGTAATATTCGCTTGGTTTGAGAATGCAGACCATCTCCGATGAATAAATGTATCCCAGATGTATTAGGAAAATCAGAGAAAGATTCGGTATTGTGGTGAATGACGTCATTAAAAACGAGAAGTTTTTAGAAGTTAATTGTAGTTATAATTAAATAAGGATTGAGACGACTTAAACCTTAATAGGATAATATACTAGATTGACCTTTAACCTCTAACTATACTACTGAAATATTGATTAGTAATTTCGACACTTATTAAAAGTATCGTGAAGAGAAGTTATCAATTATACCTAAGTAATTATAAGCAACTGTTTAATTAAATTGCTATTATTTCTAGTAGACATTTATATAAGTTATATTTCTATATGATTGGTAGTATTATTTCAGTATTTATATAATATTTATATACTATAACAACTTATTTACATATGATTCAATTGCTATATATATATATATATATATATATATATATATATATATATATATATATATATATATATATATGCCCTATGTGATTTTAAGTCGTATGTGATTTTATACTAAAATACGTGGTTAAATTTACTTATATACAATTAATTATTTTTTAACGATTTACATTTAATTATTTTTTAACGATTTTCTTATTAATTGAGAATAAATTAGTTTGTAATCTGCGAATTACTTCGAATCATTGTATTTCTGTTTATAAATTAAGAATGGAAAATGTACAAGGCATCCAAATTTTCTTCAAAAATAAATAAAAATACTACTTTGTTTTTGTTTATTGTATGACGCAACGACTTGTTTGTCAAAAAGTTTCACTTGTATTGCACTTGATAAATTTGCGATTACGTGAAACATCCAACGTATCTAGCACTCATATACGCACCACACACATACATACATACATACATATATACGTACACGAATGAATGAATGAATGAACGAATGAATGAAAGAACGAACGAATACAAGAATGAATGAATAAACGGCGAGATGGCTCATAAGTGACTAAGGTCGTCCGGTGCTGTTAAGACCTTTTATCTTAAGGTCATGAGAAACATAAATGAGAAAACATATATTGTATGTAAAAACACAACAGTGTTTAAAACATTCCCTTCACAAGAAGTGAGAACAAGAAGTGAACTTTACCAAGTGAGCTTGCAATAGTACAGGCA